TCCCAATTTAAAAAGACAAAATCCTAATGACACTTTCAGACAGGAAGAACATATTCTCATGTTATGAATTTAGTAAGTGGCCTGCATAGCTGAAATGACTCTGAAACAGAGAACCACAACCCAGAATAGCCTGGACACTTCTGTTATCTCAAACAATGGGCAGTCGGCCATTCATTCCTCCCTCTTAGTATATATTCTACTTGTTTCGGACAAAGCCCATTATAAATTTGATGAGACTGCTCAAATTCAGCTATACCAGATGTTTGAAAGCTGGGGACAGGAAATATTTGTTGCACAAAAATTCCTATTACAACATTTTGTACCTAAAAAATAAATACTATATATTCATTTAGTAAAAAAGAAAAAAAGAGTTATATTGCACACGTATGACCAGCCTGACACTGGAAATAGAGGGATGAATAAAACAGATATGGTCCCTGCAACGGAGGAACCTACCATCTAGTGGAGAAGACAAACGCTGACCAGGTTTGATGAATGTCACAAGAGAGTATGCTGGCCTGTAGACTGTGGATGAGGATATTCCCACCCTACCCCCTTCTTAAACGTGCAATAAAAGACCAGAAAGTTGTCAGAAGTCTTTTAAAATAATGACCCTCTCAATTGTGATACATATGAAACATAAGCATCTTATACAAATATAAATGACCAGTAATTTTAAAAGCATATAAAATGACTATTTGTTAAACAAATATACAAGAAATATTAAAATCCAAATAAGTCCCAACCCATGAAAGTATTTACATTCATGTTCCCCCTACTCCTGGACTGTAACAGAAGAAACCAACTTATTATGGTTGATACTTAGGACTTTTGCTCTTTTATTTTGTCCTCTTAGTGTTATACCAGTACTACTTATAAAATAGCTTTAGGTCCGGCCAGTGTGGCTCAGTGGTTGAACATGGACCCAGGAACCAAGGTCACCGATTATTCAATGCCTGGGTTGCAGGCTTGATCCCCTGTAGTGGGTGTGCAGGAGGCAGTCGATTAATGTTTCTCTCTCATCAATATTTTTATCTTCCTATCCCTCTCCTTCCTCTCTAAGAAATCAGTAAAAACATACTTAAAATAAAATAAAACATCTTTAGAAAAGCCCAACTTTCTACTGTGTAGATATATTAAATATTTAAATCAGGGCTCCATTAAATTATAAACATAGTTATAGAAACATAAAATCTCTAAAACTCTTCTGTTCTATCAATCACATGAATAAATATTAAGTATTATGGAAACAAAGTTCACATCTGTCCCATTCTTATATCTCTTTTGATCTTGAGACAGTTTTTCAAATGAAACTTCATGACTCCCCAAAGGCTCCACAAACCTTCTTTAAATGCTATTTAGTTCTAGTAGGCTTCAAGCTAAGCAGCAATATGCACTATAAAAAGCCTTTATCTGTTTTGCAGGCATAAATTCTTTTGTGCTGACCTATACCTACTCTTATTTCTTAATTAAAAAGAAAGAAATGCTCTGAAATTGAATGTCGCTGAAACAGAACCCTACCTTCACATCATTCCTTTCATATAGGTCCTTCACAAGGCCAGGCCAAAACCAGGCTTTAAACAGACACTCTTGCCAGGGCTAAGACAAATGGAAACTCTTTCACCAACAGCATTCCTCTTGCTTCTGATTCTAGGTAGAAAAATGCCACTAATAGTTCACAACTTTTTTCTAAGTGGATGTAGAATGGTAGAGTGAACAAAGCACAGGGTTCACAGTAAGAGAAACAGAGTTTCTCTTCTTGAGCCTAAACTTCATCACTAACTAGCTGTGTCACTATGGGCAAGTTGCTTAATTTCTCTGACCTACAGCATCTGTAAAATTAGGACGGGAAAGTATTAAGAAAAAAATTGTTTTATTAGTACATCAGAATCACTCTCAAGTGTTTAGAATGGCCTTATTCCATACAATGGAATATTATTCAGCAACAAAAAGGAATGAAGTTTTGATACTTACTACACCATGGATAAACCTTGAAAATGTGTTAAGAGAAATAAGTGAGAAACAAAAGGACATACATTTTATGATTCTATTTATATGAAATGGCCAGACTAGGCACACTCTATGGAGAGACAGAAAGTAGATTGGTGGTTGTCCAGAGGTGGGGATGGGGGTGGCTGCTAATGCGTATGAGGTTTCTTTCTGAGAGGACAAAACTGTCCTAAAATTAGATTGTACTGATTGTACACTTTAAATGGGAAAATTATATGTTACGTGGATTACATATAATTGTCTTTAAACAATGATCTTGTTCAGGATCCTGAGTTGAAAAAGGAACATGTAAATAAATATTCCCATCCCATCCCCTCCCTAAGAATGGAGTAAAAGTAATGACTCAGCTGCAATAGTTATGCATTTACTAGTAAAGTGACCAGACTACTTTTGTTTAACAAATATACATGAAATTACAAATCCAAATGAGTCTAGCCCAAAGAAAGAGTTACCTTAATGGTGCCCTAAGTCAACATTTGGTCCTCAGAGTCTCAATTTGGGTAGTTCTTTCTACTTGCAACACCTTTGCTATCACATCTTTAAACGTTCAAATCCCACCTAACTTTAAGACCAGTTCAAATGTTACATCTTCCATGAAGCCTTCCGCATGCTCTCCTGAAAAGTAATGTCACATTTCTTTGAACTTCCTTGGTCCTTCACTTCCGTAGGGCCACCTTGGGCTTCCAGGCAAGTATTATACTTATTCTGCCCAGTATCAACTTATTGCTTTGACATTAAAAAGGGTCTCAATAAATAACCTATTTAATAAGTGGATGATGATTGCTTAACAATTGAGAATTTCATTTTCACCTGATAAATATTAATTTTTGAAATATCCAAAAGTCATTTAGACTCAAGAATAGTCCATTGCCGAAACCGGTTTGGCTCAGTGGATAGGGCGTCTGAAGGGTCGCGGGTTCGATTCCGGTCAAGGGCATATACCTTGGTTGCGAGCCCATCCCCAGTGGGAGATGTGCAGGAGGCAGCTGATCGATGTTTCTCTCTCATCGATGTTTCTGGCTCTCTATCTCTCTCCCTTCCTCTCTGTAGAAAATCAATAAAATATATTTAAAAAAAAAAAAAAAAAAAAAGAATGGTCCATGAAGTAGCAGGGCTAAGGAATGCCCACTTTGGAAAAAACTTTCATGACCAAAATAAAACAAGACTGATTTGACATATTTATGTATATAATCCGTAAGGAATTCCCAAACAGAAGCAGTGAAATAAGGACATAATCTCCCAAGGTAACTGAAAGAAACCTGAATGATATAAATTCCAGAATATTTATTTAAAAATCTGTTTCATTATTTTATAGTGATACCACATTTTTTCCTGAGTTCTATTATCAAGGTCTATTAATTCCTCTTATTCTATGTTTCTAATAGATATCACTTCTAATTCCTTCTCCATTTTCCCCATCATACTAAAAAATCCAGGCCCTCATTTTCTTTATGATCAACCAATTTTTAAAATCTCCTAATTTATCTCCCTTCCCCACAGTTCCTTCTTTCCTTCAACAATATTTATGAAGCCATTGTGTGTGGGGAAGAACTGAGGAGCACATAAAGAAATATCAAACGAGGCCTGTTCTCCAGAAACAATCAAGTTGGGATGTTGACACATGAACACGACTCATCACAATACGCAGCAGCACAGACTTAAGGGCCACAGGTGACACTGGTAATAACAAGCAACGGGTAGGTCCTCTGGTTTCCTAGAACACAACCTATATCTCCTTCACTCTATTCTCCTCCTCTCTCCCACTCTTTGTTCATCTTACTGGATAAGGTCTTCTGTTACACTGCCCGTATGTCATGCACTGACCCTCTCCAATTTCTCTCCAACTTGCCTCCGAAGCTAATCCAGACAATCTACTTGGTGTAACCTGGAAGTAACTTACTCACAAGTATCTTTTGTTCATGATTGACTATTTGTCACCACAATTCTCCCCACTTCCTAATTCATATCCACCACCAATCTCAGGTCCTTTATTTTGTATGTATTTGGAAGTATGTAACTACATACATGTAACTTTTTTTCAGCTTATAACTGGTGGGTCTTATTCCTTCATATTTGTCGCACGGTATTTATTACAGTGTTTCCTAACTAAAAGTGAATCTCAACCCACCTATGGAGCTTCTTTAAAATACAAAGGTCTTCACCCAACCCCCTGGGAAAGCTCCTCAGTGAGAATGGGTCCCAACCCCCTGGGAAAGCTCCTCAGTGAGAATGGGTGGAAGATGGACAGACATCTTTATTTCTAAAAAGCCCCACAGGGGATTCTGATGCACAGCCCAACCTGAGAACCACTGACTTATTACAATGCTCCCTATACAGCAGACACTCAATTCTTATTAATTCATGCACTGAACCTCATAAATAACTTTTCTCTAAATAGCCTAACCAGATATCAACCCCTAGACTACAATAGCTCCGTTCCAAGTGCAACATATGGTTTTAAGCTTTCATTTCCTGAAGTACTCCTTGGAGGGACACTATTACCTTGTCTCTTTACATTGTCTCCTATTTGTTGAAAAATGGAGGCCTGGAATGTAGCCATGTTAGACAACACCACATAGGAATGTACTCTGGAGTCTTAAGATTAAAATTGGTTCTATATATATATATAAAAAAAAGAACAATGTAGAACTAGACATTCTGAATGAACACATGCTTACTGCAGAGAATCCTGCTACATCTCTACAGAAGGCAGATCAGAAAGTTGGTCAACAGTGTCTCCTCCAGGTCTTCCTACTTCCCAGTGTCCTCAACTGCCGTGGACAGATGAGGGGCCCCTGAAAACTGGTGAAGACTTTCAGCTGCTGAAGTGCCTCTAGTGCAGTCAAGTGCTCTAATCAGATAAGTAACCAAGCCCCACCCAGGCCCGCAGTTGCCTCCCAGCCACGCTGACACACTATTTACAGAGCTCAACCCCTAGACTGAACTTTTCCCAAAGCCTGTCAAGTTGTCGTTCACAGGCGGCAGCAGGCTGACTCACCAGCCAGGGTGGGAAGGAAAAGGGTGCTGGGCCCAAGGGGTGTGTGTGAGGAGGGGACTGGTCTCAGCACCGCTTTTCCTGCTTCGGAGGTGGCTCTGCCTCTGCAGGAATCACCTGCGGTGAATCACAGCTGTGCTCTACAGACCCTGCAGCGCCACGCAGCCACCGGGAGAGCCTGGACTGGGGAGGGGGGACCCCGGTCCTGCTCTCTGGCAGGGGCCCCGCAGGTCCCAGACTCCACAGGCCTCTCCCAGCAGCTCCATCTTGCTTCCCGCCAGGGGGAGGGGCCGAGAGGAGGGCCCGGAGTCGGGAGAGGCCCCAATGGGAGGAAGCCGTTTGACAGCAGGTAAAGCTACGTGGAAATCGCCAGGGGAGGGTATGAAAGGCAGCAGCAGGGTTCCGCGAAAGGGATTAGTTCGTGGCCATGAATTACTACGTAAAGAAATTACACGGGGTCTGAGAGTGCCAGGGGTGTGAGCAGAAGGAGAATGCCCGGGAAGGGAGGAGGAGACCGACGGATGAGCAGCCAGGAAGACAAGTGGACAAAAGGGCCGGCGGCAGGGAGCACGGGGGAAGGAAGGGTGGTGGGTGAGGCAGGACCCCGGGTCAGGGGCAGAAGCATTAAAAAGGAGAACGGCGTGGCGCTGGAATCCCAGGAAGGAAAGGGAAGGAATTAGTTAGGGGAGCCCCTCAGCCCCTAGGCCAGACAAGGGAGGCCTAAGACGGAGCCGAGAGGACGGCGTGAGGGGCGACAGCCTGCTTCAGCGTGAAAGGGGCCATCCCTCAGCCAAATAACTGCCATTTATTAAGCATTAAGTATGGCTCCTACGCTGTGCTGAGCACTTTATAATGCCGCCTCGCTGAATCTTCACAACGAACCCCCAAGGCAGGCATTATCATGATTGACCCCATTTTACAGATGAGGAAACTGAGGCCCAGAGAGGCTCAGAGGCATGCTCAAGGTCACAGCGCGCGGGAGTCTGGATTCGAACCCGTGGCCGTCTGGCTCCAGAGCCCAGGTGCAAAGCCACAGGCTGCGAGTGGGCAAAGGGGAGCCTCCAGGCGGACCGGGAACGTCTCCCGCCCGGTTCCGCTCCCCACCCCAGGCCCAGCGCGCTCACCCGGACGAGGTTGCTGACGGCCGCCTGCACGGCGGCCACGGGCGCGGTGAGGTCAGGGATGGCTTTGCCGTCCACCTCGCCTTCCTCGTGCATGATCACCAGGTGCGAGATCTGCTGCGCCACTGGCTCCAGGATGCTCTCAATCGTGCGCGTGTGAAACACCGGCATCGCGGCGGTGAGCGGGGCGGCGAACCGCGGGCTACAGAGAACTAACTGGGAACAGCGGGGCCGGAGACCCGCGAACAGACGGACTCTGAGCCGCGACTAGAGTCCGGGCTTCCCTCGGCGTTACCAGCCTCACGGGCGCCCCGCCCCGCCTCGCGTCGTCGCGCCCAATGGCAGCGCCGCTCAGACCCGGGCTGCCACTCCTATTGGTCCGACTTCGAGATGCTCCGCCCCCGGCCCCGCGCCAACGAGATCCCTCCCAGCCCCGCCCCCATTCCCAAGGGAGGGGCCTGGGATCGGGCTGCGCCGCGGGGATGGCGACTGGATTCCCAAACCCTAACGCCGGGCGCGCCTTATAAGGGCATGGTGGGAGCGGGCGTGCGGCGGGATCGGTGGCCCCGCCCCCGGGCCGCCTCCGGCCGGGTTCCGCGGAACTCCGCCCCTCTGCGGAGTCACCTCAGGGGGCGGGGCCTCACCTCCCGCTGGCTGCAGTGGGCTGAGACCCGGGAGCCACCGGTCTGTCCGCTCGTCCCCTTCCCAACCTTCCCTTCACAAGAGGCCCTCAAAATACTCCGCTCCCTCTTAGCAGGACGTGGAAACGTTTTTAGAAAAACATGCAAACAACAGAAGTGCACAGACTGGAACATGAGCGTCCCATTCATTCACAGACACTCCACCCACTCTCCTCCTCAAAGATACTATTAACAGTTTGGTGGGTCGCTTTGTAGACCTTTGTCTATTTGTGTGAGTGTGTGTGTGTGTGTGTGTGTGTGTGTGTGTGTGTGTACATATATATTTTCAAAATAAATGGGATTAAACATTTTCCTGGAACTCGATCTTTTTTCCTCTTAATTAAAATCCCCTGGTTATCTTTCTACCTCATTCTTTTTTTAAGGGCTTGCATGGTATTTCATTGCATGAAATCAAACAATTTCCCAGTAGTTGGCATTTAGGTTGGATTCTGTTTTTCACTATTAAAAAACAATTCTGGCCCAGCCGGGTGGCTCAGGGGCTGAGCGTTGACCTCTGAACCAGGAGGTCAGGGTTCGATTCCCAGTCAGGGCACATGCCCAGGTTGTGGGCTCCATCCTCAGTGTGGGGTGTGCAGGAGGCAGCCTATCCGTGATTCTCTCTCCTCATGGATGTTTCTATCTCTCTCTACCTCTTCCTTCCTCCCTGACATCAATAAAAATATTTTTAAAAAAACAATTCTGCGTGGCCACCATTGTACTTGCCTCTATGTTATACACATGTCGTATTGATCTAGGACAGGGACCTAGAAGTGAAGTGACAATGCTAAAGTATGTTCATTTTACATTTTGATAGATAAAATCAAATTACAGGTTGCTCTCACAGCACACAGTGTATAAGACATCTTCTAAATGTCTTCCTCGCCCAAAATTCTCTCCCGCCCTTGCTTCCTCATTCCAAAGTGAAACACTTTCACTAATACCTCCAAGCAGAAGATGCTCAATTCAAATGAAAATATTTCTCAAGGGCCCACATTTCACAAAAGGCTAAACTATGTGTGAGCTGTTCTGTGTATTTTCTGAAGTTATTTTTACCTGGTAATATATATCCCTTTTCTGCTGTGCATTTGTCAAATCCTGTACTTTTCCTTTTCATAATACCTTCACTTTTTATTCATTTTTTAATTTTTCAATTACAATTCACATTCAACATCACTCTGTATCAGTTTCAGATGTAGAGTAAAGCAGCCAGAAAATCACATATCCTACAGAATGGTCCCCCTCCCTCACCCGCCCCGCCCCCCCCCCCCCCCCCGACTGCCCAAGTGCCCACCTGGCCCCACACATATTCATAAGGGTGTTATTGACTATATTCCCTATGCTATAACCCACATCTCTGTGGCTATTCTATAACTATCAATTTGTACTGCTTAATCGCTTTACCTTTTTCACCCAAACCCAACCCTCCTTTCCTTTATTTTCACTCTTTTGTTACGGCTTTCATGTCCTTGTAGGCAACGTATTTCTATAACTCTATTTTAAAATAACATTTATTTGGTACTTTCTAAATTCTAGGCACTGTATAAACCCTTTGTTTAAGATTACCAACTGCTGGCCCTAGCCAGTTGCTCAGTGGTTAGAGTGGTGGCCCTCGGACTGAAAGATCCCCGGTTTGGTTCCAGTCAAGGGCACGTGTCTTGGTTGCAGGTTCCCAGGCCCTGGTCAGGGTGCATGCAGGAGGCAACCAATCGATGTGTCTCTCTCACATTGGTGTTTCTCTCTACCTCTCCCTCTCCCTTCCTCTGCCTCTAAAAATCAATGGAAAAATATCCTTGGATGAGGATTAGCAAAACAAACAAACAAAAAAGATTGCCAACTACTCAATACAACAGTCTCACCCACGTCTCCACCGTTTTGCTTTCCGCAGTTTCAGTTACCCAAGGTCAACTGCAGGTCCAAAATATTTTTTTTTTAATTCCAAAAACAAACAATTTGTAAGTTTTAAATTGTGTGCCATTCTGAACAGTGTGAAAAATTCTTTCAATGTTTCGTTCTGTCCCACCCAGATGTGAGTCATCCCTTTGTCTACCGTATCCAAGCTGTATCCTTACCAACGCCTTTGTCATTTAGTAGCTGTGGAGGTTGTCAGATGGATTGCCACAGTATCACAGTGTTTGAGTTCAACTACTCCTTATTTTACTTAATAACCTCTCATTCCCCTCCCTTCATCTCATCGTGTGTACATTTCATTATTTCACATCATTACAAGAAGGAGGGTGAGATGCAATACTTTAAACAATAAAAAGAAGAAGAAGAAGGGTGAGTAAAATACAGTAAGATATTGTGTGTGTGTGTGTGTGTGTGTGTGTGAGAGAGAGAGAGAGAGAGAGAGAGAGAGAGAGAGAGAGAGAGAGGCCACATAACTTTATTACAGTACAGGATGGGGCAAAAGTAGCTTTATAGTTATATGTGAAATACAGAGTTTATTCTTGTATCCTTACAAGAATTGTATTATTTTTCATACGAACAACTGTAAAACTACTTTCGCCCCACCCTGCATATTGTTATAATTGTTCTATTTTATTATTACTTAGTGTTAATATCTTGTGTAATTTATAAATTAAACTTTATCATTGGTGTGTATAAGAAAAACATAGTCGAGGATTCAGTACTATTCATGGTTTCAGGCAATCTTAGAACACAAGGGTAAGGGGGACCAATGGAGTAACACTTGAATGATGGAACTATATGTGATTTTTTTCCCTGTAATCCTCACTCTGCCTCCACTTTGCTGATCATATACTTATGTGATAGTATTTTTAACTGCAAACATATCCAGTCTTCTAATCCAGGCTCCTCCTGCCTGGCCATATTAACCTCCTTGAATTACATCATTTCATTTAATGTTGTTTTGTTACAACATTGATGGGGGCGGGGGGGGGGGGGACAATTTCCAGTTAGGGCCACTGTCTGTGTGGAGTTGGCATGTTCTCCCTGAGTCTGTGTGTGTTTTTCCAGGTACTCCACTTTCCTCCCACATCCCAAAAATGTGCAAGTGAGGTGACTGGCCGGGTCCTAGTTGTCCCGGTCTGAGTGAGCATGCTGTATGCGCGAGTGCGCCCTGCAGTGGGATCTTGTCCTGTCCAGGGTGGGTACCTGCTTTGCACCTGAGCTGCCGGAATAGGTTCCAGCCCCCTGCAACCTAAACTGGAATGAATGGGTGGGAAAATCATTATCTTACTTGTTTTTATTAATCTTTCTTAAATGTATGCAGGACTCACATTTATTTCAATGTTTAATATTAGAGGTGTTTGGGTCTCTATTTAGAAATTTGGGAACATTTTTGTGACCACAAATATGCCATGGAAACTTAACACTACTTTATATCAAGTAGCCTATGGTGCAATTGGTTTCATTATAGGTCCTTCTGCATAAAGTCAGAATTACCAAGAATCTATCAATGACGTTAAGTGAGGACACCATTGCCCACCCAGACCATGTGTTCCCCTCCATCCATATCCATATCCACTTCTTTCCCCGCTTCCCCACCCTACCCCTCCCCCCTCCGTTCCTACATGCACCATCTGAAATCTTCTGTGGCACCCGTTACACATGGTCACGTCAATACCCGTCACAGTCTGACCTCTGACCAACCTTACCTTCTGCTTCCCACCCAGACCCACAGGCAGGTGGGTTAAACCATGCAGAGGAGACGAGCTAGAGTCACCCAGAGCTCAAGCCATAATCCCAACTTTACAACCTGATTGGGCTGGGCCTCTGACCAGTGGCTTCCTTCTCCCTGCCTGAACTGCTTTCTTTGTAAAAGTGACATATGACTCTCATAGGATCTGTGTAAAGGGAGCTATTATTATTATCATCGGAGCAGTCACCGACAGACGTGCTTACAATCTCCAGTAATCCCTGTTGGAGTTCCACTTTGGAGCTTTGCCTATACTCTTTCTCACTGGAAAGCTCTCTCTGCTTGTCTAAGTCTTATCTGCTGTGGTAGGTGAAAGTCTGAGACATCCCTCTAGATTTCTCACCCCTGGTATAATCCCCTGGAGTGTGAATGTGATGGATTTTGCTTCTGTAATTAGATGACATTATCGAATTTAAGATGGGAAGAGTATCCAGCCAGGCCTGACCTAACCACATTAGCCCATTTAAAGCAGAGAGTTTTCTCCAGCTGGTCACAGAAGAGGAAGTTACAAGTTAGAAGCACAAGAAGGGTTTGACAAGCTGTTGCAGGAGTGAAGATGCAGGAGGCCGCCCGTCAAGGAATGAAGGCACCTCTAGGAGCTGAGAGTGGTCCCTGATCACGGACAGCAGGAAAAATGGACCTCATTCCCATAGCAGCAGGGAACTGACTTCTGCCAACAAGAAGAATGATCTCGGAAACAGGTTTCCCCCAGAACTCAGTCCATTCACCACCTTGATTTCAGCCTCGTTTGTGATGCTAAGAGAAACCGGCCACGCCTTGCAGAACTTCTGACCTGTACAATTGTAAAATAATAAGTGGGTAGGGAGAGGTCATTTAAGCAGCAGAAGCATAACAATAGAATGCTGAAACATCTACCTTCTAGACCCACTTCTTCTAGTCATTTATGTCTTCTCACCACAAGTTCCCAGGCTTGAGCTGTTTGTACAAATTCTTTCTCCTTCATCGCACTTACCACGATTGTCCTTCTATTGTGTGGCCATTGTGCATGTCTCTCCTGTCTATTACAGAGGCGGCTGGGTGTTCCTCAGTATCTGGGCAGCTCTTTCTCCACAGAATGGGAACCTCAGATGTAGAGCTGGGCACTTAGCCATGTGGTGTCAGTTTGTCACTTGACAGGTTACAAAGCTTGGGTTTTCTCACCTCTAAAAGGAGGATAATAATGGTTTTTTTAATCTCATTGAATACAAAGCACTTAGTCCATCATAAGCATCCAGAGAATGTTGCCAGAGAGAGAAAGGACACTTCACAGCCTGCACTAGACTAAGAACCATCATGGAACCAAGTCACAATGCCGTGTTCGAGCCCAAGCAGTCAAGTTCCATGGGCTTGAGGGTAAGAAGGGGCTTATGGGACAGCAGAACTAAGTCCGGCCTCGAAGGAAGAATAATATTTGGTTAGGCAGGCAAGACAGCAGACATTCCAGAATGAGTAAGGCCTGGAGGTGGGAGCGTGTTCCGGGACAGTGATTAAATTAGTCAGACAGAAATAAATATTCATGCAACTCAACGACAAGGGCGAAAAGGGAAACTGCCACAAGATGATAACCTGCAGAGGGTGAAGACTGTGGGGCTTTTGCTCGTGGTGTGGCTAGCTCAACACTTCTCTTCGTCAAGCGATTAGTTTGAAGGACAC